AGGTTGCTTTTCTGAGTTCCTGAAAAGGAGTATGGGGCTCGTGCAAGATCACAGAGTGCATTCGTCGGAAGTTGGCCATCAGCTACTTGGAGATTTGTTTGTTCAGAATACGGTTGGGGCAACTGTTTTACAAGCGATGGCTGGTAGGAAAAAAAGACGCCCATTTGTCAGGTATGCAGTAAGGAGAAAATGATCGTTTAAAACCTTACGGCAAAACAGGCCAATTCATGCTGAAGATGACACCGACTATGGATAACCCTAAGTCTGACATTTCAGGCAACGATGAGGGATTGTTAAGGAGTATAAAGCAAATTAAACCAAAGTCAAAGTCTATAAGAGGTCACTGAGGTATTTGGGACAATCCCTAAACTTCTTGACATTCAGAAGGCTTGCAAAAAGGCGAAAGAAAAGATCTGCGGAGATAAGCTTCCTCAAGTGAGTGAAAAAGACTAAGCACTGAGGATGTAGCTAAGACACGAGCCAGACCACAGCCCTAGCATAGATTATTCATAACACTAATACGTGAATCCGGAATACTGTCAAGGCTATTAATGCTATGAGCAAGGAGAAAATAGTGGATTTTCAGGTACTGCTTAAGCAACGAAACATAAGCGGACTAGTAGTTCATCATGCATATAACTGTGAATTGACTTGATAGAGTCACAGAACTTTGTTTATGGATCCTGTCGGCTCAGTTGTTTTTAGCAAGCGATGCTTGTGAATGCCCTACTACATTTTACATGCACCGTCGTATGTACACATAAATCAACACTGATTAGCCACTAAACAGCTATTAAACAAATATTTATTGAAAACACATCTTCGCCAGCGCTGACACGCAGGTTTAATCACACACTTTTCAGCAACAACAGTGACGTAACTGAACTATACCGACCTCTAACTGAACTGATGTACTGAACAGTCTAGCGAGAGCATATCGGCAGGAAATTGACCGTCTCTATTCAGGTCAGCCTTCTGCCGGCACTCAATATGCCATGGTTGTGGATTTGAGGCTTTTAACCATTAAAAAAATCAGTATATCTTGGGACGAACTATGTATTTAGAGAAACTGAATAGAAGGAGCTAGCCGAATTGTGGGAACAATTCGGAAGAAAAGGTCTTTTCATAAAGCGACTTTGCTGAGTAAATTGACTTGCATCGCACCGCACTATGGTATATTGAATAACTCAAAGTTTAATGGACAAGTTACGGCTGAACCTTAGTATACGTTACTGCACACTTCCAACGCTCGAAGAGTTGCTAGATTGGCCCAGTTCGAATAGTGTCATCCACGCTGGCCTGCAAGTTCGAATAATAGGAAATTTTTGTCAAACATACCTACGGTGCTCTGAACGAGGACATTATCACTAGCGTAAGTAATTGGTCACTAGGAGCATGAAAACTGAAATTTACTTCGCCAGCCAGAGCCTAAGTTGGCCAACCCACGACCAAATATCAAGGCCGATCAAGAAAAAATAGTTAGGATTTGATAGTCTTTTTAGCCATTGCAAGTATTGCATTACAGGTACAGACCGTAAGTGCGGCGTTTGCAGTGGATATAAATAGTGAAATGTGACGGTCAACTTCGCGTGGTCGAAGACCTTGACAGTTCAAATAAAAATTGCAATGAGGTCGCCTCGGTCAATGTAGCTTTTTTATACGTGATACTTCTCTGAGACTATCAAACAAATAAATACTAATGTGGGTCAGTTCGTGGGTGCTATAGCCACGTTTACAGACGACATGTGGTAATTTTTCATCGCGTCGACGAGAAAGTATAGGGTGCTGTGGCTGCCAAGGGGTGTTCGCAGAAGTTAGGCGCCAATAAGCACGTCAACTGAAGGGGTGTGGCTTGTTGACAGCTTCTTCGACACACGGTTGTTCGCCCGAAAAGTACTATAGCATATAATATTGCTGTTCTTAGCGAGCAACAGTATGGCATCCGCGTAATCATTAACATACGGTATTCCCAGCAAAACACTCTTCCAGACACGCAATGTTACTTTAGCATCGTTGTGTGGGTGGATATCATTGCGCACAACGCACACAGGGACAGAGCGATGGGCTCTTCTCATCCGTATTTGAGGATTACTTAGAGAAGACCTAAGCGGCTGCTGTTCGAGACATCATTGAAGTTTGACACAGATGCAAGATCTGTTGTCCAAACCCAGTTTAAATATGAGCATAGCAAAAGACCGATACCAATAGGTTGTTCTGATGGAGGATACTTTCAATACGTAAAGTTCGAATAACTATATTGATAAGCGTTGGGACCATTCGTTTTTGAGGGTAGGCAACACACTAATTTACAAATGCAACTTATTTAGAGGAGTTAACTATAGTAACATATTATGCTAGTAACAGGCGCCTTTGAACTTCCCGTTAAACTGTTCGAACTGAGCATTTGTATCATTCTATACGGAGCCTGCGCGCCGACAGCCCCTAACCGAAAGTTCGGCGAAGAGCATACACGGTTGACCAT